ATATATATATAATGAGACGTAAAATGACCTCAGTGGTAGACGAATTATGGGTTAGAGTCCCCTTTCCGTCAGGCTAACCATGGGAGATTTTCGTGGTTTTCTTCTCCATGCCCCTCAAATACTTGTTAGTTCTCTCTAAGGGTCCTCCACGAAGGCAAATGTCTCCCAATACTTGATCCACGAGATCCCATGTCTTCTGGATTGAATTCAAAATTATTAGGATACGGAGTTAGTTGTCGTAAATGGAAAATTCGATCGGCTGTTCTATGACGGTTATAAAATAGAAGCAAAATACCTCTGGGGTTCAGAATCGGATCGTACTCTGATTCAGATCAAACTTACGACCCGTGGATGAATGACGTAGAAATGGGTCCTCCCTGTAAAACGATCTGTGAGTGGCTGAAGTCGTATTTTCGGCCATAGATGGCGCCACTGAATAAACACCTTATAAATTGGCTATGATTTCCTATCGCAGGCTTTGCTGGTATTAGCATAAGTTGCAAATCTTTTTGATGTTGACAATGTTTTTCAGAGAACAATGGAAAAAAAAAATATACAGTTAAGTTATTCTACATCTTTCATACTAAACAGAAATAATTTAAGTACTATATTTCTATTATTTTTACAAACAAATTTTGCAGTCCCTTCGCACTCATTAAAAATTACTTCTATCGTATTTTTTTAACGAAAAAAAAATTTATGTTATGCTATCTATTTTTTGTTTTGTTTCAGTGTAGGAACCCGCAGTGATAATAAAAACAATGACTCTGAACTTCGACGCTTTGTATCTGATATGTCTCTAAAAAATGAATCTGATATTTAAAATATCAGGTTTTGTAACTGATACCTAGTTGTATCAGTTTGTAACAGATACTAAAAATCCCCATCTAGTGTGAAGGAAAAAAATCGAAACAGGAAGTATGAAAAAATACGTAATTCTATTCATTTTATTCTCAGTGGTTTCCCTTTGCCGCTATTTTTATTTTTCTTCAAAGGAATTCACCTCTGGCTTCTGAGTAAAATGTAAAACAAGCCTTTCAATCCATCAAAATAAATTACCTTCCTTCCTTAGGGATTGTTCTTTTTGTATGGGTGTGTGTGTGTGTGTAAAATGAATGTATACATTTATATTCTTTTTTCCCCTCTGTTTCTAATATGCAATTATCTATGCAAAACCATTTTTCCCTCCCTACTTTCTTTCAGTCTTGCAAAGACGTTGATGGATTGGGTCAAAACATGAAATATGTCTTTAAGCAATGAATTTATACCAAAAAGAAATAGACTTTTGGATGGAACTGACCTTCACAAAAAAGCTCTCGCGGTTAGCTCGACGGGATGCTATGAAGCACTTCCCACCCGCCACTTACCCCTGATCCGCCCATCTGTGAGATTATCTTTGAGCCAGAATTCGTGTCCATCAGCCATCATCCCCGGGATTCGAACCTGGGTCACTCCTATTCCCCGAGACCTCTTCTTAATGTTACCTCCCATATCTAGGCATTGACAATCATAAAAAGTTACTCAATTATTGCAAAAAATAACTATTAGTTAAATTATTGATTTTCTTTGAAAAATCAAATTAGGGTGGCTTCAATAGTTTCGACGCGGTTGAAAGTAATATTGTTTTTGTTCATTTCTGTACAATTAGTCGGTAAGTTTAAAAATAATTCGAAAATTTGACTCTCCATTCTCTTGACCATTTATTTTTTTTTTAAAGCTTTTTATTTTTAAAAAACTGCTGATTTGTTATAGGTACCCTGACACGTCGAAAAATTGAGGTCAAACCCCGCTATAGTGAACATGATTTATAGTGAACCGGATATAGTGAACGAAATGGTCGCTCCATTGCCTTTCTATACTCATATTATATTATTTTTTGTGAATATAGTGAAACAAAAGAAGAGAGAAAATTGGTTATTATGAGCATTTTCGACTGATATTTTTTTTTATTTTTCGTAAAAATATTTCATTTTTCGTGATCGTAATTGTGAAATTTCTTCATAAAATACATATACAGATTTTTGAAACCATCTATTGAGGTGGTATGTAACACATTTTTTGTTGCTACCTATTGTTTTTTAATCATTTTTGTATGTCTTTTTATGAGTCATTTATTTAAATAATGTGTCATAAAAGGGAGCAGTTCGGAAAAATGAGTTGAAATTGTTTGCAGTACGAATAGAGTGAAATACCGGTTATAATGAACCAAAATTTTGGTTCCTTGAAGGATCACTGTAGTATGTTTTTGTGCCTGATTTTTTAACTTGCACTAATAATTGAGTACGTTCAAGCCTTTTAACCAATGGCTCAATAATAACAACCACCGCCTTGCCCGGCTAAGACTGCATATTGTTCTAACGGTTCATTTAACATTGATTATTTCTGCAGAGTTTACATTTTTAATAGTTGATTCTTTTTTTTATTTAAATTACGCTGGAATTGTTTTCCGAAACTTTTCTTGTACGAACTTTATTTCATTTATTTGTGCAATAAAATATTTTTATTCCTAGTTATTTTTTGCTGGAATATAAAACAATTAATGTACTTAATTAGTTTTAAATATTCTTATTTACTTGTTATTTTGTGACCAGAACGATAGATTTTATTTTTATTTAATGAATTATTTTTTGACCAGAACATAAGACGATTGATTTTTTATTCTGATTTAGTTAGTTGTTTTTTGACCGGAATATGAGAGGATTGATTTTATTCGGTGATTGAGCCCCATTTTTTCCCCCCTTCCAAATACCGTTTCTCTAAGGAAATCCCTCGGGGGGCCAATCGATTTGAGACGAATTAATTGTCATTAAACATTCATTACACGTGAAGCTCAATTCCAAACGTTACGGAACTATCAGTCATTGATGCAAATCCAATTAGGTATTTTATTAAACTCACAGAAGTTTAAAAAATTACGCACTATTTACCACAAAAATTTATCACCATTGTGAAACACATTTTACCACGCAATTTTACCATTTTCAAAAAAGGTGATAAGTAGGGTTTTAATAATTAGATGAGAAATTTTAGAACACCTGTGGATTTTTCTCCAAAACTATAAAATATGCGAGAAATTTTTAAAATTTAGTTTCATCACAGTCTAGGCAGATTGATATGAATGAGGCTAAAAAAAAATCTTTTAATGTTAAATGCACGAGAACAGAGATTAATAGGGTTGAATGCAAAATTTTAAAAATTGCTGTTGGCAGAATTGTTATAATTTGGTCAGAAAAAATGAATCTCCACATTTTGTATCTCGAATTCTGATGGTGTATTCTAGGTGTGCGCAACCTTTTTTAATGAAGGGCCACTTGCACAGCAGGTAGATTAACGAAGGGCCGCATTCATATTTACTCATGTTAGCAGCAAATATGATAATAAGTTTTCTTTATCAGTAAACTTAATAACAAATTAGCAGAAAATTAAATAATTTCAATTAATTGAATTTATTTAAAAATAAATTAAGCAAATCCATTATAGTACAAAATAAAATTCAGTATGTTTCGAAGAAAAAAAATTCATTGCGTTCATAGGCACCCGCGGATCGCATGTGGTCCGCTGGTTGAGCACCCCTTGTGTATCCTATTTCACTTGTATCCATCATCAGTTTATATTTGAAAATTAAATGAAGATGAGCTGAATTTTTCTCCTCTGTCTCTCCCTCATTTCACTTATTTGAAAATTTCATATTTCAACGCCTATTAAAAAGCTATTTTTTTTCTTCACCAACTGTTGTTATTAAAAATTATGCAGTGTAACGGATTGATTGATTATTAAAAAAGAATTGGACATTTTTTAGGAAAGAGATAGCTTCTAGGGGATTTCTGGTGTTGGTGGACGCATCAAAACATTTCGAAGACTTTTGGAATACTCTGGACGAAACCTTTTGTTTGATTGAAGTAAGCAGCTTTATTCTTCTTATCATATTCATCACTCGAACATTGAATAAATCCTATATTCTATTCAAATCCCTTAAAATGTGCGACTCGATCAGGCATTCATTGATCATTTACCCCTTTCAAAAATTACTTTTAATATGCTACATACAATTAATTTTGCATTGCCTTCATATTTTCATTACAAATGAAGTTTTTTTTTCTTTGTTAGAAACAAAGCTTTAAAAGATGATTAGTTTCGGTTGATCCAACTCTGAAATAGAATTTATCCTCAACTGCTGTAAATTTCACACTTTTTTAAGATTTTATTTTTGGCCAAATGTTTCCAGAAAGTGAAATTACTTTAGTAAACTTTATATATATATA